TGCATTAGCATCCATGTGGCAGCCCTGTTGATTTAACGGGACCATTGGCTTGAGTAAGTGATGCTTGTGATGGGCAGGTCAGGGGAGGAGGGATGCTCTCCTCCCCTGGCTGGGAGGGAAGCTGGATGCTTCTGTCAGTCCCCATTCCCGGCACCCAAAGGCCCCATCTGGAGCATCAAGCAAACAGACTGAAAACGGTGCTTCCTCAGCACAACGGGCGCAGCGGGGCCAGGCTCCCTCCTGGCGTGAGCACTAAGCCCCGTCTGCCCTCCCTGCTGCAGCGGTGCCCGCAGCCCTGCTGCAAGGTCCATGGAAAGCATTCATCCTGGGCGGGTGGGGACTTGGGGCACATTTATCCTTTCTGAAGGAATAAGACCATAAAGAGAAAAGTACAACAGATCTCCGAGCGTTTAAACACATTTCCATAACTGTTTGCAATGATTCCCAGCCAGCAGCCTTCATTAAGCTGGAGCTGAGGCTGAGAGCACCAATTAGCAGCATAAAAAAAAATAAAAAAAGGAATGAAACCACTGCAGTTATCCCCAAACAAGAAGTACAGGCCGAGCCTAATCTTTTGTGCCTGACTTTGCTGGAAACGACGGCAGGTTAATGCTCCAGGAAGGTGGAGTACACGGTGCTTGGGATGGGCAGCCAGCTCGGTCCCCCCCATTGCACAGCACTGCTTGGCTGCCAGGGGAGGAGAGATGTAAAATACAGCACTTCATCCGTACATCCACTGCCATAAAAGTCAGGAAAGAAAAGAAAGAGATAAATCCTGGCACAGTACCAGTGGACACCTACCTCTGTTCATCAACCCCCAGGGGCAGCTGGAAGAGGAACGCGCAACTGCGAACTCCTGCCCAGCAGGTCTCAGCAGCAGCTCACACTCATTTTAGAAGATGCTTGAACTATTTTAATCACATGGCAAATGAAAATTACTCTCTTTTTTCCATTCATTCTGTATTTTGCCAAATTCTTTAGCTTTATGCTGTGCAAAACAGTTCTACTGGTGGACCATGGCAGCATGGCCCTGCCACTTTTCCTGCTGCTCAGCTCCCGCTGCGGGATCTGCTTTCTAAAGCAGTAAAATTATTTACCCAGTTTCCCTTCCCACAGACTCAACCTGCTCAGCCTCCATGTAAACTTTGTCAAGTTTAGCCTCAGTCTGGCAGCAAAGACACTCGCCAGTGCAAAACACAAACCAACAAAAAAGATCAGATTGTCTATCTAAAGGGTGTTAGGGATTTTTTTTTTTTTGTAAGGGCCATGAGCAATTATTTTTGAGCACAGAGATCTTAACCATTCATTTATCCTGAGAATAAAGTGGGAGAAGGGGAAACGATTGCTTTTTCATTATTTGTCATGCTGCCAGTACTGAAACGAAGTCAGAGGACTGCCAGAAGATCTCCTTTGATCCTAATAAGCAACAGTCTCATAAACATTTCAAATCTACAGGGAGAAAACCCAAAATCCCAGTCAAATCTTTCCACCATGATTCTAAAGATAAATATATAAACAACAAAAGAAATCCTCTTCCTCTACATATAAGACTCTGCCATTCAAGCTATGCACAAAAGCTTTTTAAAAAAGATGCTGTCAGGGAGAGATCCAGAACCGGACCAGAAAAAGCCAAGCTTGAAGATTCGCATCATCAGCTCAACATCATCACTCACAGTGAGTTGGAAACATTAAAAAATATATATATTTTTTTTTTTTTTTTTAAAAAAGATTCTACATCAGGAACCAATTTACTTTGGCTGCTCCACAGAGCAATCATGCCCCAGGACCTGCAGCTAAATGGCTGGAGCTCACGTAACTAGAACAGCAAAGGAAGCAGCGGAGAACTTTAATGGCTTATGAAATCCAATTGAAACTGATGGTCGGAAAAGTGAAACATTTAACACCCTACCAATTTAACGTTGGCGCACGCACGCACGTGTATGCACAGGCACGTACATGGACTAAAAAGGTGGGAGCTCATTTTCCGCTCACTTATGTGTCCACGACCCCCACAGCGCTCTAGGGAAGGAGACAGCACCCTCATACAGTAACTTAAACAATACATAAATATTTTAACACCTGCAGACCTTTTTCCACTGGAACCTTTAATATAAAATCCATCTTTTGTGAAAATGGCAATACATTATTACGACCTGCCCCGTCCACTTCTCTGAAAGATTAGAAGCCACGTTCTGCATTTCGTCTTCAGCTGGAGCAGGAAATCATAAACCGTCCCTGCTATTTGAGAAGACTTTGAATAAACTGTTCGCAGCTGATGTACTTTTCCAACACGGATCTCTTTTGTTATGAAGCCTGTCTCCGATGAACAATAGAAAAATATTGTTGACAGGGGTGTACTTTTCCATCAACTCAAAAATATCATTTTGCAGAGTATTTTCACAGCTCAGCAGAAGGTGAAAAGAAATACAATATTATGACTACATAAGAAAGAAAAAAAAAGAGTTCATTATAATTAGTTTATAGTACTTTTCTTGTTGGTTTTGGCTGGCTTAAGCCAAAGGCTTGTTTAAAGCCTTGTTTAAACTGACTTAGAAAGCCTTCTGGCAAAACTCATGTTAATCAAAGATGAACCTGGGTAAAACATTCAGAATTTGGCCAAGACACTTTAGAACGATGCTTATATTCACAAGGCATCAACAAGAACCACAGGTAGCCTTAATATTATTCCCAGGTAGACGACCAGTCAGGTGCTTTGGGATGCATCACCCCGACTCAGACGCAAGGAAGGAATTGTCAGGTCCTGGCAAGCATCAGCCCTATCGTTTATCAAGCGACTCGAGGCACATGGACACTGCTGACTCCCAGAAGGACCAACACACTGGTAACCACCGCACCGGAGCATCCATCGCGCAGCAACTGTCGTGCCCCAGGAGCAGGCGGGGTACAGTGTTCGTGCGGGCACTTCACACAACCGCAGCGTAATTGAGCTCGCTCCGGGTGTGCTGTACCAGTTGATTCATGGGGAGGCTTTGATGTGCAAATTAATCATTATAACTTTTAATTGAGCTAATGTAAGCATCATATGTTGCTAATTACACAATGCAGGGGGGGGGAAAATATTGCAAATGAATTTAACTGCTTAATATAATCAGGATGGCAAGTTGTGTTTTAATTACAAATTGTTGCGTAGCAGCAAAGCATCTGCTGCAATTCAGCGACTCTGGTCCCAAAGCAAAGCCCCGCTGCATCTCACTCCTGTGCTCAGCGTCCAGCTCCACACACCACAGCCCCAGCCTGCCCCAAATGCCAGGCCAATCCCATGGCATGGACCCAGGTGGCCATGGCCTTGGCCGGGGACAGCGGGTACATCCCTTCGGGGGCAGTGGGAACACAGCCCTGGCTTGCAGAAGCGCCCACCCTGAACAGCAATCCCTGGCAACTTTTTGCAACGAGGGTTCCTTCAGGACACCTTCGAGCTTGCCACATTCAAACCCCACCATTGGTAACCCCTCTTTTAATCTGAATGACTGTTTCAAGACGGCGGAGGCAGAAATCTTTACGATATTCCTCCAATTCTATGTCTGCCAATTCACATAAGCAAGAATCAAGCAGCACCTTTGGCCCCTGTTTCCTCTATGTTCTTACAGTTAAGGGGAAAGGAAAAATAGGAAATGCATGAAAAAATAAAATGAGATTACAAAAAAACCCTCCACTCCCAGACTTTGTCATCTGAGTAGTGCCTGGAGCAAGATTTTTACAACCAAATTAAAATCCCTGATTATTATGGGCTTTAACGGAGACACTGATATAGCCAAGCAGCTATAGCATGGCAATGCACCTGCATAATGCATCACCTTGAGAACGTATTACCCCAAGATACGTGATGACGACAAGGTTCACTGTCCAACTGTACCTGTGGCAAAGAAAAACATCCACTCGCTGATAGCTCTGCTGGCAATTAAACAGAGTTTCAGGGTGGAAAGGATGCCTCTGAAATGTTACGGCAGATACATGGGATCTAAAAAGCAAAGGCAGTCTATTTTTTTTTTTTATTATTTTTTAATTTGATACAGCTTCTATTCGTCAAAAGGAGAAAAAACAAGCCCCACAGACTCTGAGCACATTAATGTGCTTTAGGTTTTGCCACTTATCCACATGAAAGCAAAAACCTGCAGTATTTTTGGGTTTTTTTAAACACCAGGGGGCTGATTACTGTGAAATGATCTTAGGCTTCTCCCACTAAGTGGACAGATGGATTGCTACTTTTGCAACTTCTTTTTTGCAGTGTTGAATTCAGCTGCTGGCAGGAGTCTCCGTTCCAGCGCTCCCCAGCATCGTTTCTCTCCTTCCACTCACCATCTCGCTCCCCAGCCCGAGGCTGGGGTTGGGAAGAGGCTCTCTGCACCGCGCAGGGGCGCGCACACACCTGACGAGCCCAAGGATGCACCCGACCACGTCAGCACCACATCAGCCCCACACCTCTCTCGTGCCTACGCTGGGGGAGAGGGAATGGCATGGGCACACCGGAGCCCCATGCCTGGATTTTTGTGCCAAGGGAGATGGTGGTGATGCTATGGAGAGAAACACCACCAGTGCTAGCCAGACTAAAAATGAGCTCTCTCCAGCATCCCAGTAAACGAGCTGGAATTTAAAGACAAGGAAACAAAAAGCATTGCTGGACAAAACCCCTCTCCTTAACTATTTTTTAAAAGAGAAATTTTATAAAGTAAAAACTAAAACACTTGCCACCAACCTTCATCCCTGCTACCCTGACGAACTCTGAGAGCCCATTCACAGTGGTAAGCGACTCACGAACGGTCGTGAACACTTTGGGTCTCCGGCCAGCAGCCATTGCATTCACAACCCATCATTCTCACAGGCAAAACACAGCTGGTCGGGAGAAGAACTTGGAAGAAACTCCTTGGCATGCAGGGAAGGGAACTGCTCTTTCAGAAGGTGCTTTTTAGGAACGGGTCTCCTCCGAGCGGACACTGCCCGCTGTTGGGCACTGTCCCACCGCAGCCCGGGGACTGCAGTCCCTTTAAGACGAGGATGAGAGGCAGGAGGAGGAAACACTCACTTTGATCTGAGGAAGTAAAAAAAAACCCATGAAAAGCAAACTCCCAGCCCCAGGAATGACTAAGCACAGAGCCAGGCAAGGCAGCGGCACGGCACGCGTCCCCAGATCCGCACTGGCTCTGAAGGAATGGGTCTAGGGACAAAGGGGGGAAAAAAAAAAAAAACAAACCCAAGCCTAAAAATAAGGACCCAATTCTTTAGCAAGCTACACAAACTGCTTGTGAGTGCCATTTATAAGCATCCCCATCCGTCTGCATCTCCAGCTGATGCACAGATAGCAATATATGGGTCAATAATCGTTTATCTACAGATACGTGTCAACCCCTCTCTCCTCAGCTCTCAGACAAACCTTTCACAATAGCCACTTACTTTAACCCTGAATTATCTGCCTCTGCTCATCTTCAGGGAGAAGCAGCACAGCAGAGAAAGAAGCAGGCAATTCCCTGTGATCTGAAAGCTCACTTTCTAAATCAAATCAATTTTTCTAACGTAATTTGCCTAATCTAAATCACTGACCCATGCATTTTCTCACAATCCTTTGACAAGAGCTGCACCAATTGAAGCAAAGCTAAAACACTTCAACCAGACCAATTCATAGAAGTCTTTAGAGGAATTCTTTAATCGCTGTAATTAATTCTTTAAGTACCACAGTGGGATGCTCTGAATTCAAACCCAGTCCAAGGAGTAATGATTATACTAATGGGAGAAGCTGTGCAGTAAATAAATGCAAGTGCCCTGCTGAAAGAGATCGTTTTCAATAGGAGACTTCCATTCAGGGAGATAACTGTGTTCTGGAGATAATAACTCAGATGATGAAGTCCCACAGACTGGAGCCTGATATGGCACTTCCCAGACCCCGCACACCTAACCGGGCCAAGCATTTTGACGGATACCCATCGGAGCTGGGGCTGCTCCTGCCCTCAGCCCTTTGCTCACAATTGGCGGCCACAGTCCCACCATGATCGCTGCCTCCGACACGGATCCACGTGGCCAGCTGAATCGGCGGTGACACAGAGTCGATTCAGCCCAGCTGGCTGCAGACCCCCTCCCCATCTGACCTTCAGCCGGAGCTGAGCATCGGCCACGCATCGGGAGCAGCCGGGAGAGCTGCAATTTATCATCGGCTTTTTAAGCACATCAGACCACAGGCACGCAAAGAGGGCTGAGGGCTTTTCAGCCATGACCAAAGTAAACTGCTCATGTTGGACGGGGCTCGCTGCTGGGGCGTGCACAGCCTTGCGGGGACTCTGCGCCTCGCAGGCAAGGGCCTCGCGTGGGACATTCAGCCAGGGGACACGGGGAGCCCGGCTGCCGATACACACTTGGATTTGGCCGTGAAAGGCATCACTGGCCACGGAATGGCTAGCAGGGACTGCCTTGCAGTAAGCAAGAAGGCACAGGGACAGAGACCCTAGGGGAATTGGGGAAACCACCTAAAAGTTTGCTGGTTGGTGCAAGAACCAAAGCAATGACTTCTCTTTGACTTTCCATTTTTGTTAATTGGCTAAATGTAATAAAGCCTTCTAATGCATTTAATGTGTTGGGCTGCAATATGCTCAGAGAGAGGGAGGAAGATATTTTAACTCTGGATGAGCAGGATGCTTTGATAAGAAATAGCTGAAGCTGCACCCAGGAGCTGATGCTCATCAAAGCCCCACATCCCCTGGGGCTTACAGCAGACATCAATAATCTCATTATGACCCTAACGGTGTTGCAAATATGGAAAGCTTTGTGGTGAAATAAGGTGCATGACATGGATGTTTGGGTTTTAAAAGGGCACATCTGAAGAACAACTCCTCAGTGCAGTCCCTGAAACAGTATCCCCAGTCCCCATGGGCTGCCCAGCTCCATCACACCAGGGAGGCGACGGGTGGGCACCACGGGCTGGGCTCTGCTCTGCAGGACAGTCTTTCATTTAGCAATAAAGAACATTAACTCCATCTCTTCATTTCTGCTTAAGACTTCCCATAACAGTTCTAACGAAGCTGGAGCAAATCAAACTTGGCAAAAGAAACAAGTATTAATTCAGCCCTGTCCTTCCTCCCAGAACTGATGGCGCTCAGCCCTGCAATGCCAATGCTGGGGCAGCCTGAGAGAGCCCCAATGCTCATTCACATGCCCCAGCAGCATCCAGGATGGGTGCTGGAGATGCCGAGCAGCTTGGCCACCAGAACAAACCAGGGCTGAGATGTGGAGGAGGAGATGGTGCCTGAGTGGTGCTTAGCGCACTGTGTCCAAGGGACTGGCCCCAGCACCTCGGCAGCCTCCCACCCAAGGGGAGCCTCACTCCTCAAAGAGCAGCAGAAAAAACAAAATAAATAAAAAAATCAGCTGTCTTCAAAAAAATAACTTAAAAAACCAGCTTCATCCAACACCTCTGCTCTCCCTGCCAGCAGAGCTGTAGGCATGGGACTGCTGCCCTGGGGGCCCTCTTGGGGACGATGGGAGAGCATGGACCACGTCTTCAGTGGTGCCTGCTCTCTTCTCTAAAGCCTTTTGAGATCTACAGATGGAAGAATGATGAATGATTAATATTTAAAAAGAAAAAAAAGCCTCATCTGCAATAAAATTCATGCTATCTTCTGTTTTTCTCTTACTTGTTTCTCTTTTTTAATGGAGTTGAGCCTTTTTTGCACCAATACTCATATGCTAATAACTTTCAGTGGGCTACTCCTAAGCGAAAGACAGGAAATGAGTAACGGAGCTGCATTTAAAAAAAAAAAAAAAAAAAAAAAAAGAGGAGGAAACCTTTGTATATTAATTCTCGTAGCTGTCAGAGATGAGGATTTAATAATGTTAGTAACTAAGCTACTCCATTATTTCCAAACACCTTGGAAGAGAATGTCTTAGTGGGAGATGAATTAGATAGTGTGACTGTAACTGCCTCCTGAGTATCTTCAGAGCATAATCTATGGCTCATCACCACACGCATTTCAAGTCCTTGCCCTTTATTCTCCAAATAACCTCCAACTGTAAATGTATTTACGTGCCAGGCTCAGCTCCTTCTTTCAGAGCATTTCCCACTCGCTGTTTAACTGTTTGCCCCTGTTTCGCAGATTTGCCTGGGTTTGGGTTTGGATGGGTGATAAGGATGGGAAGTTGTGGATTCAGGTCATCCAATAAACGACAGAACGAAGCAGAGAAGAAAAGACGTAGGCGGAATACGGTAGAGGTCTAATAGGCTGCGAAACGCTCTGCCAAAGGAAGCGGCAGAAGTCCTGCTGCCTGCATCGCTGAAAACCAGCCACGCTCAGGAACAGACTGTACCGAACAACCGTCAGAGATGGGAAAGGCGGCGTATTCGCCAACTTTTCCAGCTCTAATTCCCGTGATTTGGGGATGGCTGAGGCATGCTGGCCTTCAGACTCGCCCTGACAGAGTTCCTCTGCTTCCAGAGAGCTTTTCCCAGCCTCTCCTGCAACATTTAAAAACCCCGTTTCATTGTGTGGGTCTGCCTTGTGTCCTTCTTGCACTTGGTGAAAGACAATCAGACCTTCTGTGCTCATCGGGCCGCTGCCCCCGGCTCTCCAAGTGCCTTTCAAAACCACCAGTGACATCTCAGGCTGCCATAGCCCCGTGGAGTCAGGGACAGAGGCACCGAGGGCCGATGGCTGTTGTCTCCCACCACACCGGGCGCTCACACCGGCCATGGACTTGCCCCACACACGCATCCAGACCAGCTCCCTCCAGAACTCATCACGCACTTGATCCTTTTTCAACCAAAAATCTAGGTACCAAAGACAGTCACCAGCTACCAACTATTTGCTGAGTTTCTAATTACTGCTCGTTGCATAGAAACCTGCTCCATCTGCTCAAGGGTTCCCTTTTAGGGTGCACAGACTTGGTCTTTTTTTGATGCAAGTTTCATCTTTTTTTTTTTTTTTTTGAGCTGCAGCACAAATGTTTGTTTCAAGAGCCGCAGCATCCATTAAGCAGCCCTCCTTCCCTGCTGTGGCAAAGGTCTTGCTGCTAAGCAAAAGCTGTGGCTAATTGACAACAACTCCTAAACTGAGATATAAAATAGTTGCGTCTGTCACTCATGCAAACAGCTGGCTTTGGCAGCCCAACTGCTAAATAATGTAAAATGGTTCATTTTTCTGACTCAGGGAAGAGCCTTTATGAAAGGAATGAAAGTCTTCAGTGCTACAGAGCCATGCCCTGATCATTCCTGCATCTTAAAAATCTAACATTGCTCATAAAATTCGTAAGTAACATAAACCCTGCTCCTTCCATCACTCTCCCCATCAGAAAAACTGGATTTAAATCAGCTGCTGACAGGTTTATTACAGGGCCCACAAGCAGATAAGGTCCTGTGCACCAGCCCTCTGCACTTAACGGAAAATAAATCTCTGCTTTGCCATCTGTTTTTGAGATGTTCCCATACAAGCAAAACAAAACAACAAAAAAAAAACCCCAAAAGATATCTGCACCTCTAATTTAGTCTTCTGAAGGATTTCTTGGGCAATGAGGATGACATTTCCCCCCTCTCTAGCACAAATGCTGTTCTTCCCCAGGCTGATTTCCCCTGGAGCTCCCTCAGCCAAACGCGACCAAACTCTCCCAGCGTTGTGTATTCAGGGCATGTGTTACCCCTCCGCACATGAACAGGCTTGGGACAGGGACACCCACTTGTCCAGAGGCACCATCTCCCACACCACCCATGGGCTGGTCCTGGTGGGAACACCATCTCTGGAGCCTCCCAAGCCCCTTGGCTCAGCCAGAATAAGGATGTTGGTCCCTGCTTCTTCTACATTTAGCCCCAGTTTGAATTCC